TTTTCAGCTTAGACTGGCAGAATCAAGATCTTATGGATCTGTCCTGGAGTTTGCAATTAAACTTTAGGCTTTTTTGAAACTCAGTTCCTGACCTTGGAAATTCACCCATCACTAATCTTTACATGTCGTTTGGGCTTCACGCACACTTCTTACTCTTTGTCACTCAGTGGTGCCTGGCAATCGTTCAGAGCTGTCTCAGCTTTTCACCTTGATTCTTCTCTGGCTGGCTGGATAAGCACAGCAGTATGGGCCATGAAAGAGTGCAAAACCTGGGGGCAAGGAAATGCAGTGTTGGTTTGTGTGAATGTTCCTGAGCCCTTCTAGGCCTATGTAGAGACACACAGAAGAAAGAGCTCTAATAATGTATGTCTTTATTTAAGCTATACTTGGTAACATATTATTTCCTCTCCATTTCACTGCTGGCAGTTAGCTTGGCACTCAAGAATTAAGGACAGATTACAGTGATTTTCTTCTGAGCTCTGCTTATCAGTGGGGCTCCAGGGATGAGCCTGATTCAGAGGCGCTGCATGGTGGGTAAATGGACAGCCGTGGAGACACAGTCTTTCAGGAACGCTTGGGAATCTGAGATATCCCCTGCATATCAATCCTCTCCCTCACCAGCCTTGTTTTATTCACATCCAATGAACTGCACAGCAAACATACCATAGCTAAAAGTGGTCCCAAATGACTTGCATCTACAGGAAAGCAGAATACCTGCACTCTCACAATTCTGTCCTGGGAGGATGAGGATCCTCTGTTTAGAGGACTCTGAGGGGTTTTTTCCCCCTTTCGTTTGTTACTGCAGCTGGAATAACATTTTAAAAAGTAATGGTGATTTTTCAAAAGCAGTATTTCAGAGAAATTGCTCTGGTCACTGGTGGTTTGTGATCCACTGGTGACTGTCCCTGGGGTAGAATGAAAGATTTAAAAAATCCCAACTAGAAATATAACTGGAGGGACTGTACTGTTTAGATCAGGGAAGATCAGTTGTGTGTTCGCAGAGAAGGAGAAGGGAGAGATGATATATACAGGTGGCCAATATGAGTCAGGCATTTTAACACACAAACAGCTTTAGCTTGAAGAAGAAGGTGTCCTATACAGTACATAAGATACAGAGAACATGGACTCCTGCCGTGTAGCCCCCTCACATACACAGTGCCCCCTGGCAGGGGTGGGCAGCAGAACCCCGTGTGGCTAACTCGCTGCAGTCGCAGGACAACTTCACTGTACAATAACTGAGAGTCACTATACACAAAACCTCAGCCTGCGGATCACAGTGGGTTGAGCCAATTCACCCTGCGTCCCTAGGACTGGCATTTTATGACCCCTGTGTTCACTGCAGTCAAGTTCCTCTGTGGTCTCTGGAGCACAGAGATGTGTTGTCCCAGCAGTGCAGCATGAAAGGTGCGGGAAAGAGCCTCCCGGCTACAGACCTCGCATTACCACCTCACGGAAAGGGAGACTAAACACCCGCTGGTACACCAGGCTAGGGCAAGAGTGTCACTTTAGCTACAAGGAAGGGATAGGAAAAGAAGAGCGGGGGCTGGCCTCTGCAGGAAGCTGAACATCATCCAGGAAAGCACATTCTTAACTTTAAGCATGTGAATAGTCTACCAAATTTAAGGCGATTAGTCACATGCTCCAAGTAAAGCACATGCTTAGGCGCTTCGCCAGAGCAGATCTGAGGGATGGGTTCAAGCCCCTTAATGCTGGGATCACAGCTAACAGATTTCTAATTAACTACTCCTCCAACTAGAAAACCACACACTAGTCAAAAAGCTTGAGTCTCTGTTCAGAAAGATATTTCAAAGCCTCCCCAAAGTGCAGAAACTCAGACTAGATGAGAGTGTGCTGTGGCTCAGGATAGATGGAGACATTAACCATTGTAAATTTGGATTTGGATCTATTTTGAGTCAACCCTGTTCTAAAGATGAGTCTGAGCCAACAGAAAGCACGGTGGGGCCATGAGTCCCTTTCAAGGGTATTGAAGCACGCAGTGCTCCTCCCAGTTCTGTGAGTAGCATGGAGGGAAATTAGCAATATCCCAAGGGGGTTTTGCCCTTATTTGAGGCAAAGATGAGAGAACTAGAGTTTGGACAAACAATCTCTTTGGGGATCCAGTTTGAGATTAAGGTTATGCGATCATCTGCTGCTTAAGACACTTACGCTCATAGTTTTTAAGATGCTTCATAGCCACACGGGCCTTAGAAAGCCTATGCTGTAGTGAGTGGAAAATCACAGAACTGGCCTAAAGATCCGGAGTTAACATTTTTCTGTGGTAAATAAAAATAATCTTAACCCTCTGCCACCATTGCCACACACAGACAAACACACAGGCTCATATACAACTTGTAAACCAACACCGTCAGAGAATACTTAGTCAAGGCAGAATTATTTTCATGCTGTCTGCAGAAAGAAAGGAAAGCTTTGAGAACCCATGAAAGAGCAAAATTATTTCCATTTCTTTAAATCTTACTGCTATACCTCTTTCAAAGGTGTATCTGTAAAAGAATACGCCCTGTGACCAGTCACAGACCACACAAGACTGTACATCGTCACAGGAGCTGTCGTACTGCTTCCCACGCCACAGGGCCTCATGGTGGACTCCAGCTAGATACCTCTGTGCCCTTTAGTTTACCTGGGTGGCTCCAGGTATCTGTATTCACGTGAAACACCTTCACTACCGCACTCAGCACTCCAGAGGAGGAAGAAAATTTGCATTCAAAGCTGTTCTAATGAAACATTTTTCTAAAGCATTAATCTCTTAATGAAAAGCTGTTTTTTCTCAAAATTGTTCATATTTTGAAAAATTTTGCTTTTTTTTTTTTTTTAATAGGTCTCTTTTGGTTTTCCATTACTGATTTTCTGATTTCAGTTTTCATTTAGCTTTCCAAAAGCTGTTTTTATTTTTAATTTCCTTCTTCACTCCAACAGTAATTCATCAGCCTCCTTACCTCGTAGGCACTTGCACAGTCAAACCGTTTCAAAGCTTCTCTAAACCACTCCATTTGAAAAACTTGCCAGAAAAAAAGAAATAAACCAATCTACTTAAAAAGGAAGTTTCTTCAAAAGGCATTTTCCACATGAATAAATAAATACTTTCTCCAGTCAGATCCAATGGAGAATGAAATGGCAAAACTTCAGTTGCCAGGGATGGCACTTCAGTGGTGACACACTGGCTTGGCAGCTGGCACTGGCATGTTTGGGGAATCTGTAGGCCAGAGAAAGCAAAAGCTAGGTAGTTGAGCAAGAATGAAAGAAACCCAAATCTATCCTACTCCAAAATGCCTTCCAGAAACTTAATTTCTTTGGGCACTGTTAATAAAGCAACATCATCACACAAGGTGTAACGAGGAGGGGAAGCAGGGTTGGAAGGGGAATGGCTGGCTACGCAACTGTATTGCATAATTACTTTGTTGGTTGGATTTTTTTAACCGAGCAAAATACTGTTTCTTGGTAGCTGCCTAAATGGTGTGACCTGGAAATTAATGCTTTCATTTCTGTGCAGTATGCACAGTTCCAACAGGTTGCCTCCTTCTCCTGGTGAGTTTTTGTAGGTGCAGAGGATGATTTTTATTGACTAATGAGGATTGATGGCATGCAGCTATCAGGTACGAAAGGATTGCTGGTACTATCCCTGAATTAAGAGCATGTTGTGCTGGGTTGGTTTTGGGGAGGCCTTTTTTCTTTGCCCAGTCTCCCTTTGTCTGTATGTTTGTCAGTGGTACCCTCACTCCTGCACATGGCTGTTCAGTCATCGCCTCTTCAGGCTCCATTTAGTTACACCCTTGGCCTTTCCTCCCCACCTTCCCCTCAGCCACTGTCGCCCTGCAAGGACTCACTGCCCTCACAGACAAAATGTTTTGCTTCCTCTAATGGCATTCACTCGCCTCTCCAGAGTTTGCTGTTATTTAGCTCTTCTGGGACCTATGACCTGAATGATGGGAAGAGCAGAGTGAAGGAAAAAGGAGACAACGGGAAGAGGAGTAGCAGGAAAAAGAGAAAGACCAAAGAAGAGAGAGAGAGAGAGAGAGAGAGTCCCATTTGCGGATTCACAATTATATCATACAACGCTTGAGCTCATGGGAAATGGATCTCCGTTCTCCCCATCTGACCCTTTCGCTTCCATCTGTACACAGTTCTCCCAGATGGAGAGTGGAGATGTCCAGTGAACCGGGGCAGTTTCCAAAGACAAGATGGGGGAAGGTCTTATTTGGCATACATGAACACAACAAGAGGCGTCTCTTACTTCTCCCTTACAAAAATTAGCTCCCCTTTTCTCCTTGGCAATGGCTTTTGCCCAGTTGTCTTAAACATCCAAAATGGAAACTCGATGAAATCCCACTCCAGGAAATACCTGGGAAGAACAACTGCCAGGGCTCCCCCCACCTCCCTTCTCCCTGGTTGGTCTTCCCCTGGATCCACCATCCTGAACTCTCAGATGCTCCGTGAAAACAAAAAACACATCCTGAAATCCACCAGAGGAGACACGCTGTCTCAGACCTGACGGCTTTCCTCACGCTTCTGCAGTTGCGGTGCCTCAGTCCTGGGCCACAAACACAGCATGGATGGTTTAGTGGACAATCACATTGCAATGTTTTAAATTTTTCTTTTTCTTAAAAAAAAATAAATAAAAGAAGAGGGAAGAAAAAGTTATACACACATGTATCACAGCATTTTCAAAAGGCCTTCTGCTGCATTTACGTTAGCAGTTCAGCCTCAGTTGTAAGCCTGGATGTAAGGCAGCTGGAAGATTAAAATCTCATTGTTGGAAAGTCCGCTGAGATGTCCTCATGGAGTTTTTTTTGTTGTATTCTGTTTTTATTTTGTTAGATCTGTTTTTTATTATTATTATTTTCACTTGTTTGCTTCTCTCTAAAGTTTGGCAGGCAAAAAGAAAATGCTTTTCTGCTTTTCCCCACATGTTCTGTCCATTTTGTTTTCTGTGTTTTAAGAAAAAAAACTTGAAAGAAAACCGAAACCAATGACAGGGCAGGCTTCTGTCATTTTGTTTTAAGAAAGAAAAAGAAAGCGGGTGGGTTTCTGATAATAGCCTTGAGGAGGTACGTTGTAGAGTGGCTCAAATGCTTGATTTGTTCCTTTGCTTGCTCTTTGCATTTTCCCTTCTGGCTGCAATGGACAGGCTTTTTGTCTCCCCCACCCCACCCTCCATGTCCTGTACAGATTCTGGTTCCAGATCCCCCAGCCGGACCCCCTGTTCCCCTTCCCAAATGGCAGTAGGTAGGTGCAACTCTATGTTCATTCAACATCTAAGGTATGATGCTGAAGTTAAGAGTTGGATGGAAGAGCCATGTGAGAGAAAAGCTTTCCCATTGCTGTGAGAAAGAACGAAGCAACACAGAGTCCAGTGGAGATGTGAGTGCCGTGTTGGACTCAGCTCTACCTTGGCACTGGCATTAATTTGAGATTATATATATATATAATTATATATACATATATATGCATGTATAGCTATACATAGACATATATATATATATGTGTGTGTGTGTGTTATTTGTTTGCTATTCGTTTTAGCACACTGTCCCATTCTCAGGTCTAGATTTGGGGCAGTTGGTCCTGGGGACAGGTTGGACAGAAGGGGCCAGAGTGCAGAAGAAGCCAGAGATAAGAGTGAGGCCCAGGCCCCCCCACGCACAGAACATGGACCAGCCATAGCCATGGCTGATGTCGTCGGGAAGTCCGTACAGGTAGCGGGGGTAGCGGGAGAGCTCAAAGTTGATTCCAGCCACGCACGTGCACAGTGAAATGATGCAGAAGGTTCCTGGAGAAGAGTGGGAAGGGGAGAAGGAGGGAGGGAAAAAAACAAAGAGAAGTTAGAAGAGTGATAGACATACCACTGTCCAAGTTGCCTCAGAAGAGCTGGTACAAGCAGTAAGGAAATACCTAAGGGAAGATATTCCTGTAGAAAGGGGCTTAGTCTAGCAGCTCCACGGGGAAAGGACTGAGTGCCACCAGAGCCTTGAATATCGCTCTGATGCTGAACAGAGCTCTACGGAGAAACTTCAACAGGAACAGTTTTTTCATTATGAGCACTCCCTTGGGAAACAGAATGCTTCACGAAACCACTGATTTTTCTCGAATTTTGCTTTAGACAAATACAAAGTGAATCATCATGTTTCAGTAATTTTGGGGGGCTGGGAGGGAAAGCTTGAATTTTTTGTTTAATTTCAATTTTTCAGTGATGGATTTTATAGAAGAACATATTACAAAATACTTGACGTCTTCTGGCTCTGTTGAAACGTACATTTGAAATGACTTGGGAGATTTTTTTCAGACTTTTCTTATATCAAAATCTGAAATCTTTCATTATACACCCCTATTTTCAATATTTTGAAATCTCAAAATCCCTAACAAAATTCAGATTCTACCCTCTGCATGGCTCCAGTCCCAAACTAGATACCCTCTGCACTGTTGGGGAAATCTTCAAAATATTCTGCTCTTGTCTTCCATCTCTGCAGCAGTATTTCATTTCTTCCTGAGAACACTGCGAGAACAGGCTTCATAACTCTGACAGGTGGTAAGTGTCAAGGAAAGACACACGTATCAGATGATGCTGAACGTTAGCCCACCCAGATGAGTCTAATTTTGATCTTTGGCCTCCAGCTTCACCAAAGCTAAACTCTCAGCTCCTGAAATGTCACCGTTGCCACCCACACACCAAATCATGGATAGCTGCAGATGATGCATGCCTGTCTCAAGAGATAACAACTAAAGACAACATAAAGTTGGTAGTTTGTTTTTCCTCTCTAATTCCTCCCTACGAGGGCCTCTGAATTGCCAGGAGAGGCCTGGGCACAGAAGGCAACCTACAGGACACGTGCTATTGTAACACGCGTGGTCAGTCCTGTGTGTTGTCCCGCTGTTCATGCCCAGATCGGTAGCGTGCCATGAGGGCTACCTGTGCAGCACGTCCTGCATCTGCTCACTAACAGCTGCTGGTGAGGAATCTCCTAGTCCCATCCCTAAGATAGCATGATCCTCCAAAGCAGCCACAGCCAGCCTGGTTTTAGTGTCAAGCTCCTTTCCTCTGGTGCCCTTGCCGCCTTCTACTCCTGCCTGCTGTTGCTTCTGTTTCTCTTCCGCAACATTTTCCCTGTCGTTTCTCTGCTGCTTTGCTCTTTTTAGTTGCAGTTGCATTGAAGAAATGGGTTTTACATTCCCCACTCTGAAGACACAGGTAAGATTATGTGATGAATTTGCCTAGAATCAGGCTCAGAAACTGGGGTAATTTGTAGGAACATACGTACACCACCAAAAATGTGTGGACTTTCCACCATACCCACTTCCTTTACTCAGTAGGAACATCACACAGGTCTGGAATCTGCAGGCAAATCTCTATCATGGACCTGCTGTTAGACCATCATCATGGCCGTCTCTGTTCCATCTTCTGATCGCTGCTTTGTCTATTTGGACTGTGTTTTCTCCAATGTGTTTTGGAGCACCATTGTAGATAGTCTTTGTCGTAAAGGTCAGGGAATATGGGAACTCTAGGTGCTACATATAGCTGACAGATGGCCCAGGTTATTCATAAGTGCTTATATTATGATAGTGCCACAGGGTACCCATGAGGACCAGCAAACTGCTGTGACAGGTACTATGCCTGTTTAAATAAAAACAGCCGCCTTGCCTCTCACCAGCACCCAATTAGTCTAAAATCACCACTCTGGACTTTTGCAAAAGCCTAATGAGATCCCAGGCTCTGGAGCTGTCTTCAGAGATGTTCTATACTACTTCAAACCACAGATCAGAATAAATGGGGTGGTCTCCCTCCTGGAATCCCTTACTCAAAAATCATGTGGTTTGATTGGAAACTACACACCCCTTTCCATGTTTTACCATGCCACAGTAACATGAAGATGTCTGGCAAGAATGTGGTTGTTCCCTGGGTGACATGTCAACATGACTACTACACTGCGGGATCAGGGAAAAAAAGGATCCATCAGAGCCACTGTGCTCTGAACAAAGCTCCGTGGCTCATTTTGAAGAGCTGTGGTTAGAAAATGACATGAAAGGCCTTTCTTTGCTAGCAAGAACATGATAATTTCAGCCCTCTTGAAATATAAGATTGTTAAGAGAGGTGGGTGGGAAAATCTGTGTGGCCAGACTGAAGCTGCATTTGCTAAGTACAAAAGGGAAGGAAATAACCTTGGATTTCAGATAATCCCCGTGCTTTCACGCCTTGTCTTGGCTGGTTTGATCACAAGATCTTCAAGGCAATGAGTGTTGCTTACTCTTTGTATTCGAACAGTGCCCAATATATTGGCACTCCACCTTGCCAGGGGTATTCTGCTCCATAACAAACAAACTATAAAGAAGAATGAGTAACAACAATAGAGAATAAAGCAAATCACAAGCATGAGACTTCTTTAAAAAAAGGCTGCCCTCGTCCTGCTCCTTCGCTGGAGAGAATGTGTAATCTCACGATGACAAATAATGACTGCCATGCACAACGTTAGAGGATGCACAGTATGGTCCTCAACCAGTCACCCCTTTGTGCTTCTGCAGGGTGTCTTGCATGGCACAGGCTTATCAGCCTCCCTAGTGCTATTCATTACAGATACAAAAAATGTCATTTTGTACCACCTAGGGGAACCTTTACAGCCATTATATGAGTCCTATGTGCTGTTTGTATTCAGCCAAGCAAGGAAGTTCCCACTTGTAGTTAATCTGGCCTCTCACCAGGAGGGTTACTGATCAAAACTGAGTACAGTTACTACCTCATGACTGGTAGCTTTTCCTTGTGGACTGGCAATCGTAACGCAAAGGATCATCCTTGCAAACTGCACAATTGTTGGCCATCATAGTGAAAGAGTCACGAGTGGAAGGGATGCAGACACTGAGCTTACATTTGGAAACCGCCTCTAGTCCTGGTAAGACATGGAGCTGGGAAGGCAGGAGGAGGGAGGCTGTTGTTCTCGCCCGTGACACTGCCTGCACTATGGACATGGGACTTCAGAGCCAGAAAGATTGTAGCAAGTCACGAGCATCCCCAAACTTGAGATTCTTTTTCTTCCCAGGAAATAAACTAAACCCTTATTCAGTTTCCTGGCAGGTTCTTGCCATCAGTGAGGTGTCCCCTACATGCACACTAATGCAGCGGATCGCTGGGCAGCCGCAGCAATGCAAACTTTAACTTCTTTGTGAAAAACACTCCCCATAACTCTGGCCCGAGCCGATGATCAGACCTGAAGGCTGGTGGTCCAGCCGTGGCACTAGCACACAGAATGCGAATGACAGGCAGTAATAAGAGCTTACCAGGGATGTGCTGGTATGTGAGCTGGACGGAGGAGATAAAGACCATCTCCTTCAGCAGCTGGGGAGAGCAGAACACGCTAAGTTCTTTGTGCTGGGATTTACACGTTATCATCCTAATTGAAACACTAATGAATGAGACAAGGCAACAGCAGCGTTTTTGACAAAGGAAATCCATGTGTCACTGCAAAATGCTTCAGTCAGGCGAGAGATGGAATTTCATGTAGAGCCGTGTCTGTGCTACAGAAACTGCTGTCTGACATGTAGTGAAACCTCCATCCCGACTCCTTACCAGACAGCCACCCTTCGTCTCGGGCTGGTTTGACAGTGCCTGTCCTGCTAACGGACTGATGATCAACAGTGATTTGAGCACCTGAGCTATTAAATACCTGATGGCTATCTTGTGCTTTTCCTCATATATTACAGAAGAAAAATACCAAACATTACACTGAATGTCTCTTTCATTTAGACTGGAAGTTTGTTTAGGACAGAGATGAACTTATTTGCTGTATACATGTGTAAGATTGCGGTCCTACCATCGTTGCTGCAGGGGCAGACATGGTCAGGAGAGGGATGGCTGCGAAAGGTAATACCATTGTTGGTCAAAGCCTAATTCGGTGTGGATTATGAGTCAGAGCCCTTTGCTGCATCTGTTTTTAAGCATGATTATATCAAACAGAGCCGTGGGCCTCTGCTGCTATGAATTATCTTTTTTTTGTTGTTGTAAACGTCCCTTTTCTTTCTGATCAGCCTGGCTGTGCGAGGGGCTGCAATGCCTCTGTTTGCAGTTCTCAAACCTCAACTCCAGGGGAGAGCAGAACTGCTTGTGAGTGAACCAATTTAAACACAAACAGGCTCAAACCATCCATACCAAATATGTTTGAATTCTGCCTCACACTAGTGCCTCCCTGAACCACGTCAGAAGCCACGTCCTTTGCCCACAGGCCGGCTTGGCTTCCACAGCATTAGAGCTTGAGGGATTTAATAATTTCACAGCATCCGTGGTGTTTTGTGAGACAAGAACTGCTGCCTTTCTTAGATATACTGCAAACAAAGGTGAGCCTTTGTGGTGCTGGTGCGCAAACAGATCCCGCTGGCAGGAGCTTCACCTAAACACCCTCCTCCCTAGTATTAGGGATAAGGTGTCTGACTGTAGCACGAAGGAGACATCACCAAATCAAGGGAAATCCAAGAAGCCAGTACTTAAAGTGATCCGGGCACCCAGCCCACCTCTGCGACCCTCTTCTCTACAAATCATTTTTCTCATTATTTGGAAAACTTTTCTTCCATGTCTGACAGAACGATGCTCATTCTCTCCCTTCCCCCCACAAGAGGCAGAAATGACTCATGAACTAACTGTGCTGTCAGATGTACAAAGTAAACAAAAAACCCTGATTTTTCTGCCCTTTTTTTTTTTTTCAGAGATAGAAATGTCAAGTATTACTTATAAACACTAGTAGATACAAAGAGAAACACAAAGGTATGGATTTTAAGATGTCCTCTGAAACC